TCAGGATAAATGATACGAAAGGATGTTTGCCCTACCTGACGTGTTACAGTATTGAATGCTCAGTATATTCCCAAATAAAGTTGCGAAAAAAAACCTGAATCACTTGCGAAATTGTTTTTGCAAGTTTAAAAATGTACTGAGCATTCAGTACATATACCGCGTCAGGTAGGGCAAACATATTTCGTAGGTTTATATACTTGTGCATTTACGTCAAGTGAAACGCATTTCATTTCGTGAGAGTTTTTATGTTGGTGCATATGCAATGTACGCGTGAGTGCAAACAAAGGCCGTAACAATGTATATAATTTTGTAGATAATAGCCTAATTATTATTTATTTTAGACAATTTCTGTTATAATAATTTTTAAAAATGGTTCAAGTCTGTGGGCGTTCAACCATGCTCTTCTTTACAAGAAAACTACTACAGTAAGACTAGTCGGTGTTGCATGATGCATGGTAGGCCTACTCGAGCCTTGGATTATCGCCGGCCGTATGTTAAACCAAAACAAAAGAAAAAAGTCACAAACGGTTTGAGATACAGATTTTTTAATATTTAAAAAGTTGGGGAAAATGGGTGTAACCCCTTTTTCAAAATATCCAATTTAGTAGTGGGAGAAGTTTTTGAAACAAAATTCTCACGCCTGCAAATTTGTTAAACTTGGATGGATTTAGTATTTTTGTCCAGGTAGAGAATGTGCTGGTGTGACAATTGAGGACCTATGGTTTGAGCGGGAAGATGCTTTTCACAAGTTGCTGGGGTTTTTTATATGTTTTATTCCACAACAAAAACAGTAATAACAGGTAAGAATGAGGCAGCACTCTGAGACTTGCATTTAAGATATAATTTATTCAGCATAAGCTTTTGCTGGAAGTCGATGCCAGCTTCATCAGGTGTGTGAAGTACAAAATGAAAAATACGAGAGAAAATAACAAAAAATAGAAATTTCTTGGACAAGGGGAGAGCACCCTTTTTGCCACTCCATAGGTACTGTATTTTAATGACTAGTAAGTCTCATTGTGAGGCATAGGAAGTGCAGTTGTTTTTATTAGCTCAGAGACTGGGATCAGGAAAAAGATCTTAACCACTAAACAAAATATGCACATCTTTCAGCCTTCAGTTTAGATTTTCCATCCAGGTTCGCCTATCCCAAATATATACATAGGCTAGATACTTTAGTGGTGTTAAAGCAACACAGAATGCAGAATGACCCCATTGGAATCAGAGGTGACAAATAATTAATCATTTGTCAAAGAAATTCAAACAGATCTGTGTATCTTCCGGATAATTCAAATTCTCTTAAAGGGCTTAAACTGTTGAAAAATTACCTTTCCATATGGATTTTCTACAAACAATTTTGACCAGAAATATGCGCAAGAAAATTCTAAGAAAACAAAGCAGACACAGGAGCTTGCTTTTCTTACCCGACAATTGCTTAATGTTAGTTGATTCACCAAGGTACCAAGCACATGGAAATAGAATTGTTACATATTTACATTTTGCAATCATTTTGTAATTTGCATCTGCTAAAACTGCTTTAAGACATGGCTGACAAGCTTCAGGCTTTCAGTGAAATTAAAGAGTATTTTTAAACTTTCTTTACAAATTATTTGATTACATGGTTGGCTACCTGTTGAGCGTTTCTGTGCTCAAAAGCACACTAAGATACTTTTTCTTTACATTTCATTTACGAAAGAATTATATTGCTGATGATATTATTAGGTCTTATCATCATCATCATCACAATTGCAGGGCGGAACAGCTACCAGAGTTGAAAGTTGAATATATTATTTATTCTTAACATAAAGGTAATTATTTGAAATTTTCAACAAAAATTGGCAAATAATATAAAGAAATGCAAGAATAAAATACTACATCATTTACCATCCAGTTCAAATAAAACCCATTTTTGACTTTACCAACTAGAGCAGTCACTCCATAGAGTGCATACCTTCACCCTGTGCCTGAATACCAACAATATGCGACCGTGTATGATGGGCGATGGCATTATTTTCCGCCGTGTGTCTGAATACCAAAGTATACGCAGGCCGTGTATGATGGATGGGCAAATTCAGGCACACTATTTTCTGGAGTGCTGCAGCATACATTCAATAAAATAATTAAATAGTCTATCGTATTCAGTGACATTATACCTTAGGCCTGTGCCTGAATATGAAGGAGGAAATTCTATTTTTCCCTTTTATGGCCAAGCAATTAAAAAAAAAAACCAGATTTTCGTGACCTTGACCTTTGCTCCCAAAAATTGAATGGTGTCTTTCTTCGATTATTATGTACCATTCCACTAAGTTTTATGATTCCTTAGCTTCAGCTAAATCTTCAGAGAGGCAGTGGCAGATACATAAATTTCCCATCAAGACCCATGGGGGTCATATGACTTGGTCATGTGACTATCCTAGACCAATTAATAAATACAAAAAATCATTGCAAGACCCATAAGGACATATAAGGCACACTTTGAGGTCAACAGGAAGTCGATTCAATCAACATTCCTTTGATACAGCACTTACACATTGGCTTCTTCAAGCAGGTAAGTGTGGAGTGGAGTTTTTGAATTTTGCTAGGACTAATATGCAAAAATTATGATATTATTTGTTGTAATAACAAGATAAATATTATCAATAGACCTTATAGATGATAGTTATACTACTAAGAAATAAATTTTACTACAACTTTTTATGTAGTACAGTACTTGTTTTTAAAAACGGGGTCATATATGTCCCAATGGCTGTTGGTGTTGTTTAGCTTGGGTCATATGTCCCAATGGGTTATCATGCTTGTATTAGGGTAACAATACCATATTAATTTTATGTGTTTAGGCTTTTTATACACTATTTTGAAATTATACACACTTTCTGTCTTATAAAATGCAATTACTGTATATTTATTTTTATTTATTTTTTTTTTCTCATAAATCTTATTTTTTTAAATATTTTTTTTCAGTAATCATCGACATAATTTTTCAGTCAAAGAAGTTTTGAATGCACTTGATGGTAATGAAAGTGAGTTTGATGCATCAATTAGTGATGATGATACAGAAAATGATGATTTATCCTTTGAGTATTCGCCAAGCCAAAGCCAAGAGTATGATGAAAGTAGTGGCAGCAAATGGCAAAAGAAACAATTTCACTCTCCAAACACTGATTTTACAGGGCCTGACTATCCAGAAATAATTCATATTGAGTCACCCTATACATATTTTAGAAAGTTTTTTAACCCAGCCATGGTAGAGTTGATTGTCGCCAACACTACACCTATAGTGTAGAGAAGACAGGAAAGTGCGTAAATACCAATGTTAAGGAAATTGAGCAGTTTATTGGAATGTTTTTCCGAATGGGTATCGTACAAATGCTAGGCGTAAGAGTGTATGGGGAAAATGAGATGCGGCATGATCCGGTAGCAGATGTTATGAGTCATAACCAATTTCAGCTCCTGTTGACTACTCTACATTTTGTTAACAATGATGTAACTGAAGATGAGAAAAGAAATAAACTATGGAAAATTGCGAACTTTTCCACACACAATGTGTTCAAACTACGCCAGAGGAATACAACTCTATTGACAAGATGATGGTGCCTTTTCGTGGACGATACAGCGCCATAAAGCAGTATATACGGGGCAAACCAAACCTATGGGGACTGAAAATATGGGCACGATGTGGGGCATCTGGGTTTTTGTACGACTTTGAGGTCTATCAAGGTAAAGGAGCGGGTAGAGAAATTACAGATCTAGGCTTAGGGGGCGATGTCAAACTATGCGAGTCCCTTCCTGAAAATCAAAACTTCAAAATGTATGCCAATAATCTCTTCAGTTCTGTAAAACAGAGGTTTCCATTACATTGGGACCCTACGTGGAAATCGACTTGCTGGTAGCAAACTTTTAACAGAAAAAGAAATGGAGAAAAAGGGAAGAGGAACATATGATTGGAGGATTGAAGAGTCAAGCAATATTGTTGTTGGTTGGTTGGTTTGTTACCAAGCGAGTAACATTGATATCAAGCTATGTTGGTGTTGAACCGACCGATAAAGCACGTCGTTGGGACAAAGTCAATAAAGAATTTGTAGAGGTTACGAGACCATGTATTGTTCCAATATGGGAGTAGTCGATTTGCTCGATGCATGCATTGCAAGATACAAATTTCATAATTTCTCGAAGATGGTATTTGTATTTATTCTGGCAATGTGTATATATTGCACTTGTGAATGCCTGGTTTTTGTATCGCCGCGAATGCAAGAAAGCTGGAGTTAAAAAAGGTTCTATATTGAGCCAAAGAAAATTCCAGGCCATAGTTGCACAAGAATTAGTTGAGGTTAACACCAGAAAGCCAGGCAGGCTGTCAACCCCACTTACCATCACAGCTGCATGACGACAACAAAAACGGCCACTTGCAAATGATGATGTGCGACTTGACGAGGTGGCCCATTGGCCCTTGAAGGATGCAAAACGTCGTCGATGTGCTATATGCAAAGACAATAAGACTGACACGACGTGTGAAAAATGCAAGGTAGCTCTCTGCTTTTCAGAGAAACAGAATTGCTTCGAAGAACACCATACAAAATGAACTACTTCCACATTGTAAATATTGAACATTTTCCCAAAACTAGAACTATTTTTAAAATCTGGTACGAAGATTTTTGAGAGGTGTGTGTACACTATATATGTGTATATATTGTAAATTACTAAATAAAACTTTTTTATAAAATTGATTTTGCATTTTCTGTGATTTTTTATAAATTTATTAATAGCTTTTGCTTTGTAAAAATGTGCACTTTTTGCTATTTTAACCCATTGGGACATATATGACCCAATCACGAAAACAGGGTCAGAGGTTACAAAAGTCAAAATTAACATATGGGCCTAATTAACATATGTCCAATGACTAATAAAAACATGATAAATATTTTTTAAAGACTAGATATATGCTTGGGACTTGATGGGTTACCAATAAAGTAATTAATTGTACTACATATTATTGATAGAAATATTAACCTTAGAATCTCACATTAAGTCTATTAAGTTGTCAAATTCTTCGTAAGTTTAATTCATTTCATTTCATTTCATTTATTTATTTGACAAATATACATTTACAAAAGGTACAGTACAACAACAATTTTGGTCAGGGGCAGCTTACTCATCATCTAACTTCCTCTTCACACTCTGGTTAAAAATAATGTTGACTTGTGGTGAATTACTTGTTTTCTTCTGTAGGTTACCATCTGCCTTCTCTGTATTAAATGATTGAAGCTGAATGTGTGGAATAGCTGTAGAGAAAAAAAAAATAGTGAAAGTATTACTCAATAATTATCTATCTATCAATCAATCAATCTGAAATCAATCAAAATAAACTTCTATAGCGCCAAAATCCATCACATGAATAACCATGGTATAATTTCAGACTGCACAAAATAAATTTGAAATGTATTTTTCTTGAATAATAATGATATTAAAAAGTGTAGTATCAACATTGTCGATTGCTGTTATTGTGATAGAAATGCTTTACGGAAAAGGTATGCCCCCGCCAATACTGATGATTTCAAACAAAATAAAATTTCATTTTTGGCCAATAAGTGCACCCGCCGCCACGAAAAAAAATGCAAATTTCAGACAAAAATAAAAGTTTTCCTTCATTTTTATTATGCCCGTCGCTGCCTTCAAATCTCTAAAAATATGATGATATTTCTTCCTATTAAAATATACAAATTTAAAGCACTTAACCATCCCATTACTGCACTGTTTACATTCACCAATAAAATTTTATTTATATTTTCTTTTCCATCTGGATGTTTTTGGCAAAAATTTTTGCTAAATAAAAAACCCAAATTTTATTTTATTTTCCGCCCCCCTCCTCTGAAGATTAAAAAAAAAAAATATGTTCACGAAACAAGGTATCAAAAATTCTCGCCTAATGCATAGTTATTTATTAGCTTTTACTTAAATGACTTTTAATTATTTTATTAAAAACAGATATTCTGAAAATTTTACAGAAAAGCTTATCCTCTTTAATATTACATTTTGCTTGTTTTTAAATTTGTATTTACTGCATACTAACATATGTCCTGGCCTTACACTATTTGACAGAATTTGATAATTATTATTTTTTAAAATATATTTATTGACAATTGACATAAAGACACATACCACTGTAAAATTGGGAAAAATAGCATAAGATACAATAAAATGAATAAAAAAAAAACCAAAAAACAAAAAACAAATAAAGCAAAGAACACACTCAAACACATGCAAGCCTTACCAGGAGCATGGGGGTGATATGCTCCCTTCGGTTTGTTGGTGGTGGATCCTTGGCTACTGCCTTGTTAAAGCAATGAAAGATGCTATTTTCTATCAGTAGCAAGTATGAATCTTAGTATTGCTATTAAACCAGTCAAGCCAAGAGGGGATGAATGAAGGTGTCAATGCCTTTATAGGTTTATCTACAAATTTTCATTGATTTATAATCTTATGAATTAATACCAAACCATCTCCTAGTGAAACAGATACTGTATTGGAAATATATGATCAAAAAATATACTTTTATACTGTTTGACATTAACAGGTTTCACTTTTGTGTCGACAATTTTTAATATTATATATATACCCACACATATATTTATATATATATATATTGTGTATAAGAGACAGCCCTTAAGCTGCTTCTTCAAACTTGTGACCTCTGAAATAATTGTGTCACACAATGCATGTACATTATCCTCTACATTATCACCATGACAACCACCATTACATACATTGCCATCATTTTGTTCATACATACCTTTAGACGTGTTACTGCTTTGTGTTGTTAGAACATTAGCATGAGTGAAACCAGGCTTAATTCCTGATGCAGATTTTGACGTCAAAGTTATAGTAGCTGATTTCCCTGGACGCACAAAAGTAAATCATAAGAACAACAATGTTTATCTTAAAATAAATACAAAATGATTAGCAGACTTGTCTCAGTAATCATTGCCTTTATATTTTAGCAGTGCTGGATTATCCTTTAATCATCCCATTATAAGCAGGTCTCTAAAATATACGTACATATCTTATTAAAATTAGATGGAATTATCCAGTTTAAGTGGGATAATTAAATTTTGTTTTAGGCATGTAATGTTACTGAAGCAGGGTTTAGTTTTTTTTTTTTTTAACAATGGGCATACGAGAAAATGCCATTAATGTTACTGTACCATAAACCATTGTACAGTAAATAAAAATGCAATTGTTTTCTGATGACTTTATTCAAATCACATGGAATTATCTAATGTAAATGTGTAATTAAATTTCTTTGGCATGCAATATTTGAGGCTATCAATGTCAAAAAATTGTTTTAAAATATTTATGCCATTAATACCATACCCACTATTACAGTAATATTGACAATTGTTTTCTGTTGCCGCATCCACATGTGTTTGCATTAACATTATTTTTCACTGCTGAATTCATAAAAATACCCATAAAATAGCAAGCTAATTAATTACTTCAGCAGAAGTGATTATATTTAGTTTCCAGCATGATGCGTGCAATAGAAAAAAGGTCAACCAATGTAGGACAGTCAATTTGAATCAAGTGAACGCAGAAACAGTGGATTTATATTGGGTAATAAGATCCAAGATTGCTTAGTCCAACAAAATACAATGTGAAATTTGATTTCCATTGACATACACTTAAGATACTGTAGAGACAAAACCAATAAAAACTATAAGAAGGGGAGACGTTAAAACATAAGATGTACAATCATAATATTGAAAGCCAAGTTAATATTGATATATTTTAAAATTTGTTGCAGAGAGCAGCTTTAAGCTATAAGTGGTAGATACTGTGTGTGCGCTGAACCGTGGAGATCTAAGGTCCCCGGTTCAGTTCCCATCTCTGCTTTCCCTGTGTAGTAGGATACTACTTTTTACTACATCCATGTTTGATCATTAGCATACTGTCTTTCAGATAGAAGTACAAACTGTTGGTCCTGTGTGCATTATGGCCTGTATGCATGTTAAAGAATGTAGTGGAAAAGAGCAGGGGATTGTTAGCCGGTGTAGAACAACCACCATTAGAAGGACCCTACTGGAAATAATTCTTCTTCAGACCATTTAGATTTTCATGGGTTATCAAAATGATAAATCTATGGCTTCTGCCACAGTGCTGCTGTTTATTTTTAAATTCCAATTTCAATTTTGTAACGGTGATGAAAACGAAAGATGAAGATAAAAGTCAATCAATCAACATGACATATATGTGGATGTCATATAGTACTGTATTATTTTAAATATAGAGTATGTTTACATTAGATGGTATATTGCTACAAAGTATAATATAGCAATAATATTGAGCTTTTTAAACAAATTTATCACATATAGGTTCATATTTATTAGTAAATTAAAAGTCAAAAACTAATTAAAGTATAAGGCCACGGGAATGAAAGTTGTAGGTTTGCGTCCACCGCCCGCATGCCTATTTTGAAAAAAAATATACTTCGTTTTAAAAAACAGACTTTCTAAGTCGTAAACAGACAGAAAAACGATCTATTCATCACTGATCACTCGTCGCGAACACCGAGCGAAGACAGGCCTGGCCACATCGCACCATGATCGCCGATCACTGCCGAGGTCATTTACGGGTCAAATTGATCTTTCTGACTAATAGGAAATCTCGTATGTTTAAAGAGGTCTTAAATGTAGAAAAGGATCTGTTTTATAGGCTAGTGTACATTTATGACTGTAAAGCATTGTTTCTTGGGAATAAATGTAAAATTACCAATGCTGCGGCTTGTGGACAGCATTTATAAAAAAAATAATGAATAATGAAAAATGAAAAAATGCCTCATATGTTTTCAAAATTTTTTGGACGCAAACCTACAACTTTCATTCTCGTGGCCTAATGGGTATTAGATGACAGTTAAAACAATTTACTTAGCATCTTAACCCTTTGAAGTCTAAAGGGGGGGGGGGTTTATTCTAGGTCACTGGGGCCCCTTAAGGAGTTTTAATAGGTTTCTGAAAAACGCATAATACATTTTTATGACTGTAACTTTCTGCAAATGTTGGTTTGATTGTTGGGTAAAATGTTTTGGGCTTCTGAAAAATAGCAAAATTGTTTGACTTTTTGACCTTGGTCAAAGGTCATGTGCCCCAAAATTGCAATTTAGGGGGATAAAAAGGGTACTTTTTTCCCCATAAACCCCATGTAAATGACACTAAAAATTCCTATGCTCATAAATATTACGCATTATGTGGTATATGTTGTTTTTTTACAGAAATAAAATGTTTGGTTGAATAAAATTATGCTTTCATATTTATGACGATTACAAAGGTAATTGAGGTGATAATTTGGGGAACGGCCTCTATCACACGCTCCCCCCCCCTCCCCCGATAGAGGGCAAGTAAGCCTAGCTAGGCCTAAATATGCTTATTTCTAACTAGGGTGGACTACTGGACCTAGGATATATTTTACTAAAACTAGTATACTTGATGAAATAATAATATAATAGAGAAGATGGGGGTAGGGGTATTGAAATATGGGAGGGGGGGGGGTCCATGTACATGAACAAACCCAAAATGAACATTTGCATACTTAGGCCTAGCATTACTGTTGCGCTGCTAATGTTTCTAGTGAAAATCTTTCCTCAGATTCATATTATATATTATTAATTAATTAATTATTATATAAACAATCCCGCTATCCTCGTCTATCCAAGTACATCAATCACTGACAGAAAAAATTGTCGATTTTTCTCTATACAATCGCTAAGCCTTGTCTAGTTGCTATGACGTTAGGGAAATCCCCTACAAGAGTCGGCAACAGAGGGCAGCATTATTAAAACAGTAGGGGAAATAGTCCTGTACCGTATATGGGCCGCGCATCCAGGGACAGTAAATTATCCCATATGGGATACAGGCCACAACTTCAAAGGGTTAATTGTTGGCATATTTAAGCCCATTAATGTTATTATTATCATTATTATTATTATTAATGTTCTTATTAATTACAGTATTAGATGATAGTTAAAACAATTCACTTAGCATTTTAATTTTTGGCTTACTTTAATCCTATTTTTAATGTAATAAATACGATAATAATTATTGTTGTTGTTGTTATTATTATCATTATTATTATTATTATTATCTTTAATGTTGTTCTTATGAATAATATTATTATTATTAAAGTAAGTAGATTAGGATTATATGTTTTGTGTATCACATCCTACGCACATAAGGATAACAATTGGTTTTCAACTGAGTCGTTAACCCAGGTTAAACAAGAAATAAAAAAATTAAAAAAAATGGGTGGTAATGTGTTCATGGATTTATATATTTCGGATCTCAATTTCCATGGGCCCTCGAGAGATACTTTACAATAATTATTGATTCATAATTACCAATTTGGTCATAAAGATTATTGAGAAATAACTGATGCTTATAATCTAAAGATCCAGTTTGAAAAGGTTCCCAATATTCACCTAATCCCCATTTAACAAGATCATTTTTTAAATCATTAAAAATCTTCCCTCTAAATGGCTGGATTTTATCACAAATAAATAAAGAGAATGTAATTAATGTGTTGTGAATTGCATTGCTGAATTGTGTATTTGAATTTGTAACTGAAGCTTTATATAGTATAGTAGTGTTGTATGAAATGTTTCTTTATGTGCAGTTAGTTTTTTTGAATATGTTTAAATTGTATAATGGTGATAGTAATAGTAATTGTGGTAATAATAATAATTTATAGGATTTTATATTGTATAGTTTCTATTTTTGTAATTAATCATCTCAATTAATTTTGTTATGGTATGATGATTGAAATAAATATACCAGAATTATACCAGAATATATAAAAAATGGTTGGTTGTTTCATTTAAATTTCGGGAGCATAATTTGCAAAAGTCAATATTTTTTTACAGACCATGTCGTAAAAATTTATGCAGGATCTGTACTTTTTCTTGAATCTCAAAAAAGTCACATAGTCGGGAGTCCCAAAAGCTCTGGTTAGTCGCGGCAGAGATACTCCCACACTCCTACAAGCATCTCCCAGGAAATAACCTATCTCATAACCAAATTCATAATAGTTGCATGTTATTACAATTATTATCAATTGTCTCTCGGAAGTCTGTGATGATGGGTACAATCATGTGCAGCAAAATGAAACTAAAATGTATTAAGAGAGATCACTTAATCAGATCTCCCGGAAGGGACTTCTTCCAGCTTTGGACACCTGCATATTTTATTAAAATATAATATCTAGCATAAAATACGGGGAACATTAAAATTAAACAATTAATTAAAACTAGTATACCTCATTTTAAAAGGATAGTTAGCCACATCTAATTTTACAGATGGAAACAAAAGGGTTTTTGCCGATTTAAGGGCCTTTTACTAAAATATACCAAGCTTGATCACTAGCTAGCACGTTAGGATAAATACGAAGAATATAGCAATGGTATTATTATTTGCTTCCACTCACCTGAGGATGAACTTATACTCAATCTTGAAGGAAGAACCATACCAGAGGTCTGAAGAAATAATAAATCAATTTAATTTATTGTAAATGCTCGAATAAGTGCCGCAGCACTTATAAAATTGTTGGTGTAGAGATATAGTTGGGTGGGCATAAAGGGGCAGGGCCACCCAGCCTTGAAGTTTTCCAACCAGTCTAAAGCTAATTTCATGATGCTCCACCCACATTTATTAACCCACTTTTCCATCCTTAAAATCCACTCATATTATTTAGAGTTTACCAGTGTTATCAACCATCCACCCTTAAAATGTCTATCACCCACACTTAGCTTCCTACAGCTACAACCATGTTGGTGGCTTCAGTGTGACGCTTAATCAAGAGCGGCGCTTATAAAAAATATTGGCTTGGTGCTTTCCATGCCCGTTCCCATGTTACCTATTTCACATATTCATGTAGTCGGTAGGCCTATTATAGGTCCTATTATCGTACATAAACATTTATAAAGAAATGCTTGTGTCTTCATTTATTCTAATGTCATTTATTCATTTGAACACTGTATTGTATTTAAAACCCTGTTCCTCAAAGTGTTTCATTACACACAGGGTAATATAAGCGGTGCTTAACGAAAAAAGTCATGTTTGGTGCAGTGCTTATTCAAGAAGGGTGGCGCTTATTTGAACACTTACGGTATGTTGCAAAGAAAATAATACCAATGATGTCTGATGATATAATACTGTAGAAGCCACATTATATTCCGATAATGAAAGTTTCTTATTTTTTATCAATTATTATTTATGAAATATTATTTTCTAATTACTAATATCTTTAGTAGTACATATAGAAGTAAAATTAAATCATGGTCTTCCTATCAGAGTTTCACAGGTGGCTCCATAAATTGCTGACAGGGTATTAAAACTATTGTCTAGAGCCTTGCTTTTGTCAGGGCCTGCTAGTGGTGGTCAAATGAGGGGGGGGGGGAGATGGAGAATTTCATTCATTTTAGGGTGGTAAAAATTGTACATTTAGACTGCAATTTAGTAGGAACTGGAATCAAAATAACTTTCTGCAAAGTTGTAATTTTAGTCAGACAACCAACACTGGTGTTAGAATGATGGGACTCCATACATGTTTGATGTGGGGGGGGGGGTTTGGGGAGATAGGATATTTCCTCTGACTTTGTGCTGGTACCACCAGTGCACGGTTGAACTTTAATTGAATGTTACAGACAGAAGCACATTAAAGACAGAATCTTAGTTACTACATAAATTAATGGGGCATTACTACTGGTGAATAAGGCATTACCACTGGTGAAATTCGTTATAATCATTATTAATTATTTTAAAAATCTGTGAATTTGAAATCACTCACTTTCCTACTGTTAGATCTAAGTCTGTAGTTGGTGGATGAAAAACAGTAGCGATCTGGTGGAAGATTTGGACCATTGTGTGGCTTGATGGCTGGAAGTGAACTGTTGTTTTTTACTCTGGCAACCTCTAGTAAAAGCTAAAAACAAACATCACAACATAATTATTCATTTTTTAAATAACAACAACGAAACACACTATACTGTAGATGGTGGGGGAAAAAAATCACTTAATTTTTAAAACATTGAATAGCTCATCTTAAAGAATAAAACAAAGTTATGGAACAAAGACAGCAGCGCATGTTGCAGCTTGACATGATTTATTGTCACGTCATGTCTGTGTGAGTTAAACACAGTAATGAAAATGTTTGGGACAGTCTTGATGTAGATTATTAAATATTTAACATAATTATAATGAAATGCTACAATTGATGTTTAATTATATTTGTTTAGTCATTAAATATATTGTTTGATTGTTTCTTATTCTTGTATTCAATATTTTCGACTACAAACAATGGAAACATTTTCATGTTCAGTACTTATTATATTTATTATTAATATTATTTTTGTATTCGGTATGAAGACACAAAAAAAATGTTTGATTCATTTAGAGAAAAGAAATGATGATGATTTACCTCTCTGGGTGGTGGACAGGTAAAAGAATGATCCATGCGTGTCTGCACGGCAAGCTGAACATCTTCACCATCGACAACCTTTTTACCAGCATGATTACAGTAAATCTGTGCATCATCCAAAATGTCAGTGACATAACCTGAAAAAAAATCACAATACGTTTCCTGAACGAGTATTTACAGTATAAACTGTTACGCTGTACTACTGAAAACTGAACAGAAAATAGGTGCGCCCTCCTTTCTTGGCTAGGCCTCGGTGTGCAGTGAGGGTAGTAGGTAGGCCTTGCGGCGCCTGATTGTGTCTGCGGTCCTCCTCCAGCTTTGGCAAAGTTGCAGACGGTAGGCCTAGGCTAAATTAGCACGAATTTTTGGCTATATAATTAACAAACTTACGATAAGTAAATTCCAACATCTGATTAATAACTCGAGGTTCGTACTCTGTTACCCCCATGTCTTTCAGAATTGCTATCATCGTTTGTACATCCTTTGGACTACGACTGCTTGTTGGACCGATTGACGACGCCGCCATGTTGAAGGATTTCGTTCATATATGAAGCGCCGGTGGCGCCTTTACAGAACGTCTTGTATGGTCGGGAAATTAGATGAATATAAAATACCGTACTCGCTTGAATAACCGCCCCTCCTAACGCGAAAATTTCCTTAAGCGCCCCGTTTGAATAAGCGCCCCCCTCATAAGATTTTCTTTTTAGCAAATCAATAATCCAATCAATCCTGGGACTGTGGTTGTTGGCATGATTTAAGCTGTAGAGTGGAAATTCTTCTTCAGACAATATCAAAATTAAAGGATATTTCTCTTGGACAGATGAGAGCTCCGATCCCTGGAGAGACAGTATATTTTCAACTTTAATCTTTTTACATATTTGTCTATGTCTAGTCCTACTCCCCTTTTTCTTTTTTCGACCTTAAGCACATTCTCATCTGAGTTTTCAAGAAAAATACAATGATCCTGTCATCCTGCTAATCTCAATCGGCCGATGGCCAACAAGCTATAGACCACTACCGTACCACCACTAATTGCATCTGCTGTTTTGCTGTTACCTGTATGTAAATATTCATGCATTCTTGTTATGAGCCATGTTCTCTGGACGATTATCTCCTCTAACCACCATTCGTAATGTCCTTATATAATCTCTTTTTCATTCAAAAGTGGCTCTTGAATTTTTAATTACTAAAATAATTTCCCATAAGAACCTCTCGATTTTCATCTATTTCCATAAGCGCCCCCTCAATTTCCACTCTATTTACATAAGCGCCCCGTTTGAATAAGCGCCCCTAAGAAAGTGCAAAAAAATATTTTAAGCGCCCGGGCGCTTATTCGCGCGAGTACGGTACTAATGTGTTTAGTATCAATTTTTGAATGCTAATATTAGTATTAAATTAAGTCTCATGCGCCACTACTCTTTCTCTGAAAAAAATAAGTTCAGAAGAAATGCTTTACGAATTTTGTAAAAATTATGGAGAAAATGATCTGAACTTAAAGCATTTACAAACCTTGTTGTAGATTAAGTATCAGTATTACTGAGTAAATTGAATTTAATTAATTTTGTTTACCCTTACTTTATTGAAGAGTTGATTGATGGTAAATTTGTTATGTTATGTACTAGCAGTTAAGAATCTTAAATCGTTTATTCTGTTTCACCATGAACGCACCAAATGAGTTTTGAGTGCCACCGATCTAAAGGTGAATGTTCCAATAAATATTATAATACAGTATTATTATTATTATAATCGCTACATGCTATCGCCGAATCGGGGAGCTTTTTAAATGGATTTATTCAATTTCGTAATTGTATATTATCATGTCATCATTATCACATCATTATTATTAAAGGTATTAGTTATGCTTTGCTTTTTAATGATAGATTTTATTATTGTTTAATTTAATTATTGTTTGTGTATATCTGTTTTAAAAATTCCTAAGACCGGACTAACAGGCCTGAGAGCAGGGTGTTTTTCAGACTATAGTTATTCCTAGCCAACTTAGGTTTTTTTTTATTGTCTCAAGTATTTGTTTAATTTCATATTTGTTTTGTATTCACTTATTTATGCTATTGGCTGAATAAAGAATGAATGAAATCAAATCAACAGTAGATGTGTCTAACAGTATAATATAAACAATATAAGAATAATAATAATAATAATAATAATAATAATAATAATAATAATAATAATGATGCTTGCAGAACACCACATAGATAGTTCTGAAAACAGGGAAATACTAATAATAATAATATAGTATATATGACACACATGCACTCTTTTAAAAATTCTCAAGGCAATAATTTAAAAAAAGGTGAAATGTGATCGTGTTTCTTAATGTTGAAAATAATTCTAGCAGATGTGTTGCATGTCTTTGAGAAGCCAAATAGAAGAGTTACCCATATTTATGTGATGAGTTGAAGTATTTTTCAACTTCACGCCATCAGTTTTATTATTCAATTTTGTCAGTTTATGTTGCAGGTCAGAAGACCGATACAGACACTACATTTGATATTAATGGTATTGTTTAAGAAAACAAAGATTTTTTTTATAACAGCGAGCACAGTAGTGTAATGCCTGCATACTCTCAGGAGTTCCCTAGCCCTAATCAAGAAATCGTCCTGAAGGAAAATATATTTAGTTTGAATTACCAATCACGATAGCTTGTTACTTTCTTCAGAGTTTGTTTGATACTGTCTTATGTAAAACGATGAATCCCATGGTTTCAAGGGACTACCAGTAATATTTTACTGTAATACAAGACACAGACAAGTATATGGCAATATACAAAACAAAACTAATGCTATTACATTCATTATTTCTGAAGTGTTGATATTCATCTGTTGTTCAGTGACCTTTCTCTAAAATAATAAAAATAAGAAAAATTTCAAGTTGCGATACAATATTCAAGCCCTTATGTTGCAGCCGCGTAGGAAGTACACAGGAGATGCATGACCCCCCCCCCCAAAAAAAAAATAACCCCCCCCCCCCAAAAAAAAATATTGTTCCCCCAGCTCCCCATAACCTAATCTTCAATCCTCACATAACCTTCATGTCCCTCAATCAGCACACCCATTTCAAGACTACTGTACAAGATACGTCACTGCTATGTTCCACCTTTAATATATGCCTGCTGATATTTTGCCAATCTCAGATAGATTGACTGTTGCCGCATTTATATGCCAACTGAGGCACTCATATTCAGTTGATGAATCAGTAGAATTGAAGCAGTTGAACATAATGTAGTTCCCCTAAGGCCACAACTTTACTCTGGCTAATTTCCACAAAATGACAGCATAAAATGTACATAAACATGTGCCTTTGAGAAACAACATATGTGTTTTGTGGAACAAGCATGTATTCTTGCTGTGCTCTGATTTGTTAGTTGATTGACAGCCTGGAACAGTATCATTGTAGATTGAACATCCTTATTGGGAAGCATGTAGGTTGTGCTCAATATCTCCGGAATATTAAAAAAAACCCAGCAAAATAATAATTTAGTTTACAGGAAACCTATATACATATTTCTAGAAACCCACCATTATTGCAACACAAATGTGTCCGTAGATGTAAGTGATGAGTTAATGTACAATATGTGATTCGTCAATATAGTCACATATGTCATTATTACTTAATGTATTTTGTTAAAAATTTTTGATGAAATTCCGATCGGATTGTATCATTGATAAATTTCTTTTCCATTTTGTCATCTTCTCCCCTAGCACAATTCTTGAAAACCACATCATCATCCCACCTAAAACAAAACACAAGAACATAATGTCATTAGGTTTCTCATAGATCATTTATAGCTGCAAGTGTCATTAAAATTAAGCCCAACACTTTGATATGAACTAGATTCAGTAACTTCATTCTCCTTACAATGATGAGCAATTTTTTTTCAGAAAAATCATTTGTATAGAGTTCTGATGGCTTTTTTTTTGCCGTCAGGACACCATAATTATCTGGAGGTTGTGGGTTTGATTTCCACCCAAATCACTTCTTACAGATTTTTTTTTCTCTGAGCATTCAGTACGATAACAATTCAGGTAGTGCAACATCATTTTGTACATATATATATATAGGGTGAACCTTCAAGCATACAGTATCCTAGAAGATCGGCTGATATACAGGGCCCTCTTAAATAAATGAAATAATGTGATGCTTTACCAGTGAAGACTAATTACGAGGCTTAGGGAGTGGATATATGTGTTAGTTGTGAGAAAAAAAAACCAATGTGCTGCCATAGGATTTGAACCCAGGACCACAGGATTGGAAGGCAAGCACTTTGACCACCAAGCTACACCTCCCTATAAAGGTCATTTGCATTGTAGTAGCATATAAAACAAAATGTTTGACAAAAAAGAAACAAACAAACAAACAAAAAATAAGCAAGTTATCTTTTAGAATATTTTTATTTTAATACTTGACAGACATTTTAAATGTTTATACTTTCATTTCACTAACCTTCTTTTCACTTTAAAATCACTGACTTTTTGAGAGTTTATAAGTGGATTCCCACTGATTATATTTTCAGTTCTTATTCTATCCTCTTCTATTTTCCTCTCAAGTTCCTGTAAAAAAGAAAAATAAAAAAAAAATTAATGACGTAAAACCTTGAAAATTTTTAGGACATTTGGATGGGTTTCTTTTAGAGTTGGGCTTCTTTTCAAGATTGGCTTCTTTACGAGATTACTTTGGCAAACTAATGAGTGGACTTCTTTTCAAAATGAATGCTGTAAATATTTGTAATTGCAACTATACAGCATTTTCCAACTATGGAATTCAAAATTCTGTAATATTTTAAAATTTTAAACATGCTAGTACATAAAATGATATTGATGTATATAGTACACGCTATCATAATCATCAAAGACAACGTCAGTCTAAATGTACGTACCATCTTGAACAGAAGCCCATCATATCTCAATTAGAAACTCATGGGCTTCTTCTCGAGATTCAGCTCATTGGGCTTTTATTCAAGGTTTTACGGTATTTGCATAAAAATTTATTTTGCCAGTCAGAATCTACACAAAAGTTTCCCCTACTATTATGAATATCCAGTATTGATGGGTTTAATCATTTGCTTTCAAATTAATGTTTAATAAATAAGCTATTTGGAAAAGGATATTCCACCCTTTTGTAATTCTCTGGATTTTAACTTAAAAAATCTGCCAATTTCTTGCCTAATTTTAAAATTCTGGAAATAACTTTCAAATCATATTTTGTGATTTTACAAGATTATAAAAAAAAAAAAAAAAATTGAGAAAAATGAATTAAAGTCTGAGAGGATCCATAATCATAAATTTTCTTACTTCAGCCCCAACCATTGGTGAGGCTGAGGTGGTCTAGACCCACCATCTATGAAAGTCCCTCCATCTCTATATCTTTAGCTCCTGGATCTGCCACTGATGAGGCAGTAACTTTAAATTCAATGATTGTTTTTTTATTATAAATTTATGAAAAAAGGGTATAATAAAATTAAATCAATCACCTTTTGCATTTGTTCTTTAGCTCTTTCCTGCTTGATCTTGTTCAATTCAGCTAACAATTCTGCAGTATCATCATCATCGTCACTATCACCACTACCAGAGTTCTTTATCAAAATGTAAATGAAGGAAACAGTTTAATAATAATGGCACACTTTAATATGCAACACCAAAAAAAAGTTAATTGGGTACATGTAAAAGAACACAATAGATAATTGTAAGCATGGCAAACTTCTGGACGGAGCTCACATTATTATTAATTATACAAGATTTTATAAAAAGTATTTAAAATGATTTATAAGTTAAGTACCATTTGCCAAGAAGGTACCAATTTCTTTATAGTGCCTGTGTTTTGTTTGATCTTGCGCAACTTGTTAAAAAAAACCTTTTAGTTATGACACCACGTTGCTAGGCCCACACAAATGTGACAAGCCTAACATTGGTAGACCTACTGTATGCTAGAAAGGCCTAGGTTAGATAAAATTGACTTATAAAGAAATTATTGTAACAGTATTTCAGGCACTGATTGAAAAATAAAACTCTTGGTTGTTAGTTTTCAACAGTGCCCTCAACATTTGACAAATATGCTGCCTTCATTAGAACTTGTGAAGTCGGTGTTTCCCAGTTTACAACTTGTGAAACACGTTCATCCAAATTCTGATTGTATGTTATTGTATGTTGATAGACATTTGTTTTAGACAATATTGTCTAATAATAGCGACTGCCTACAATCAAAGCATTCAAAATGTGTTGGTTTCATAAACTCAAACTTACATCACTGTCAGAGTCATCTACTGGATCATCAGCATCAAGATTTGCTGCAGGGATCTGTTCCAAGCGAGGGCGCTTTGTGCTGGATGACTGGTCTGTTTGTATCAAAACATTGTTAGTTAATGGTTTTACTGTATACTACTTTGCATGTTATAGTCATCACAAGCAAAAGAAAGACATAGGATAATTTGTTAAAAACAGAATGATGATACAAAAAAGTAAGGAAAAAAGGAAGGAAGAGAATGAAAGAGAAGAAATTAAAAAAACAATTACAAAAAATAAAACTTTTGAGGACAGTGAGACCGACAAGTCGCCAATAACCCATAGGTAGTCAGGATGTTTGTATTATAATAAGCAATTATTAGAGCTCCGCATAGTACACTATAGGAAAATTATTATACGAAAGTTAGATTTAATGCTTGCAAAAATTTCCTGAGGGCCTGCAAGGCCCGAAGGAAATTTTTGAATGCATTAAATCTAACCTAAGTATAATAATTTTCCATTTAGTGTACGATGCATGCTCTACTAATTGCTTTATAAGTCAATCACCGTCTTTTAATTTTAGATGTTTTATAACCAACTGTTGTAGCAGTCATCGGTTGCTATAGTGATATGATCAGTATACGTGTGCGTATTTACATTTAGCTGTCCGTATGCTGATTTTTGTTCCTGCAGTATGCGTTTAACTACACATCAGCACAGTACAGATACGATGACAGATGAATAACTTTTGTAATTTGTACTGTGTTAGAACGAACTTGTTTGTAATGCTATTTTGATAGATTTTTGTCAAAGAAATAAACATTTCAGCATTTGAGAGAGAATACAGACTCTGACGTCCTTTTTGGTCGGTGCATGCAAACAGGTAAAATCATGCGAAGATTTCATAAGTAGGCTACGGCCTAGAAGTAGTAGTAGGAGGAGGCCAGTGAGGCCTCCTGCCTGGCCGTAGGGATACATCTATATTTGTTCCTGGAGTCTTTAAAATAGGTCTAGAATATTCCTATTAAACGTTCAGTTTGTTGTGTTTTTGAGGGTCCATTGATTCAATGAACTCCTTTCATACTTAATATTGAATTTAAGGTAACTTTCTTCGGGTTCTTAATAAGCTTGTTTTACGAAAGTAATTTTCAATTGCAATTCAATTTTTATCGCGGTGCGCGATGTATTCGCGGTGACGAAAAAATGAGGAATTTTTTTTGCACACGAACCTAAAAAAAAAAAAATCAAGCCAAGCGTCCGCTAATAGAAAAATTAGTGGACTGTGGGGAATAGGCAAATAACATTGGGAGTTACAGTGATGACGTCACGACTAACTTATAATTCAGATTAATAAACATATAAATTGATCTGCTTGAACTACAGTAAGACAGCAAATTCAACATAAATAGTTATATCCTGCCCAAGATATACAATACAACATTTAACCAATGATCTATAAGCTTCAGGGCTTGAACTTCCCAAGTCAATTTCCATTCCCATACCCACAAATATTGTTTTATAAATTCCTTCTATGTTCCACGATGGGACCAGAATTGAGAGGGCATGTGGCCATCTCTCTACAGACTGCTCTAAAGTTAACATTACTAATCTTCGTCATCACATCTTTGTCACATTCAAAAATTCAAAAATTCAAAAACACACCTCGGCCTTTATCACCACGTTTTTCACGTGCAGATGCTCTTTCTCGCTCCTCCAACTCTCTTCTGAAGTCACGGTTGCGGACATCTTCATGACTGTCTTGCCCTGGTTGTCTGAATAAAAGAAACCAAACATCCAAATTAATCAATCTTGAATTAAGCATTACCTGGTCTTATAATTATTATACAATATAAAATGAGAACACTAGGTAGAAGAAAAGTTAAAGAAGCTTTTGTTGTCTACAACTGTACCGCCAATACTGAAAGAAATTAAGTAGTTAGTTGTACAGTATCATAGTACTGTACATCAGGATCAATTACCGTGTCTAGTTTTTATATCAGTCTTTACAATTTAATATGACTGGGTGTTATTGTCATCCTATTATTATAACAACATCCAATCATAATTTGTTTAAGGCTGGTGGAACGATATCCACTCTTTTTAATATCACCCTCTCACATGGAATATCTTAGTTTTGTATTTTGCTGCATAACTGACCTGTATTTTAATTTTGTATGTGCTGGTAAATCCCTGCTAGAGTACTGTTTAGATAGTGCACTTAGGTCCCCTTCTCCTTTATTCCTCCCACCTCGTGCAGTGTCAAAGGTTGGTCTTGCTGCTGTTGTCATATTTCTTCTATGAAAATAAGTCATTCAATAATTATTTAATCATTATTAAGTCATAATGCTAGTGCATGCAACATTTTTTATTTGACAGTGTACATTTCACTCTAAAATATTTATTTTATTTTATTTTATTTATTTATTTATTTATTCTTTATACTGGATTACCTCTTGAGTAAGAAGTTACTGTTCTCCCAGAGGGCCCAGTACACATAAATCATTAAAATCTCAAGAAAAACAACACAGAACATCCAAAAAGAAACAAACACAAATTAAGTAAAAAATTACCTACCCCCCGCATTCCAAATACAAGAACACCTAAAAGTAAAACTAATTCTACCAGATTCAGTTCTGACTTTAGGCAAAATTAAATTTCCTGCAGAACTGGATCTGGTAGAATAGTTATGTACACTGTCAACTGAGGTGAAAGTGTTTTGGAGAGAAGGGACTCTGCCACTCAAGCATTTGTTAACAAGGGTGACTAAATCGTTATTTCTCCTTTCGTTAAGAAATGACCAACCAAGAGAAGTATGTAATTGAGATAAATTTGTTCGGTGATCAGCCGTAAGTATAACACGTGCTGCTCTATTCTGTAATTTCTGTAATTTGTCTAATAAATCCTTTCCACAATTTCCCCAAACAGAATCACAATAATCAAATAAAGGTAATATGAGAGATTTATAAAGTAAATTAAGAGAGTTTTTATCAATATAACGACGTAATCTACCCAGAAGAGAAATTCTACCGCTCACCTTACTAAATAAACCTACTGTACCTTGACAGCTTACTGTAGGCCACCTACATAAAAAGACCAGCTCGACCACAATGTGTGTAAACACTTTGATAATCAGGAAAGAAACGTACTATATGTTATGCTTCCTATCAACTAATATAGCCTACTCAGTACTGTGGTTACTTTAAAAAATATGCTTATTTAGAAAAGATTTTGCTTTCAATTAACTTTTAGGTTTTAGTAGGCCTACAGTAAAAGTTATTAAGAAACATGTCTTTTGCATATTTCACACTTTTTGTTGAAGGAAGTGGATGTATTTACATGGTCCACAGCTCATGCATGCTTAGTCTTTATTTTATTTCTCTGAGGTGTTACTTGAATGAACTTGCATTATTGGTCACAATATTTATCAATTCTGGTTAAATATATGCAACCGTAAACAACAATTGTTTAAGTGGGTATTTTTATGTGTCCATGGATTACATAAACGCAGAGCAGTCATACTTAATTTAAGTCTTAAATCAAATTGTATTTCATCACACAATTTTATCAAGTAGGTCTAGGACAATATAAAAAAACAAAACAAAATGTGTTTCATACATCCTACCTAGCTAGGCCTAGGCTTTAATAATAATACTACAGTTCAGTGGACCGGTCCGCTGAGTAATTGCTCAATTAAACCTAGGCCTAGCCATGCCTAGGCTAGTGAGCTAGGGCATAGGAGAAAATGTGACCAATTGTAGACTAGGCCTAGGCCCCCTATATAGAATAATGGCCTAGGCTTGGGCCAGGCTACCCTACTTCTACTACAGTCTCTACTACTACTACTAGGCCTAGCCTAGGCCTACTAATACTATACTAGGGCTAGGCCCTAGCCTAGATTTGTTTAAATTCAAAGAAACCCCCATGTTACACAAACAATTATTATCTCAAAGTATACTGGTGTTAATTTAATGTTAAATTTACAGTATAACCATTATAATATTGCAAAATATAAACCAACCTGAATAAATTAACTTCGTTGCAGATACCGTTCGTCGCGCTTTGCTTTTGGAAAAATCGAACTCGACCTTTTTTGTTGATATTTTTTAGTTGAGGGCGTCTGTAATACTTTTCTAAACCTCTTGGATAGGCCTCCCCCTATGTCCGCGAAACTTCCGGGCGGAAGATATGAATTTTCTTTTCTACATTATTTTTTAAATGGTTAGCAGGAGTAGATAGGTTTTATAAAATCCTTGGTAGGTATATAGCAATCAATCACAATAAGACAACCAATGAGTATTTCTAGCCTAGCTAATTTTAGTTGGGCTAGCCTAGGCCTAGGCTAGGAATAATTAATAAGCTTGGAGAGGGCTAGCTTAGCCTAGCCTGGCCTAGCTTGATGAACCTTGAGGCTCAATTGAGGAGCTTGATGAACCTAGATAGGGCTTAGGCAAGCCCAGGCCAGGCCTGGCGTCGTGGGCTACAAGTCAATTCGCCCCAACAATACCAGCGGTGCCCATCATCCATACTAGGTAGGCCGTACCATATACACCAACTCGTTGTTTAACTGAGTGTGCAGTACAGTGCAAACTGCAAGGTTTCTTTCATGAAATTATTGTAAAATGTGACATTTAAATTTATTTACTGATGTTGATGTTAACTTATTAGAAATCAAAATAATATATTTTTTGGGAGATATACGGATCGGAATTTACAATGATGAAAGATCTAAGCCTAGGCTACCGGTGAGGCCTAGGCCATGTGATAGTGTGTGCGTCACGACGATCGGTAGCTACAATGAAAAAATAAGAATAAAAATTGCATTTATTAAGGATTTACCACCATCAAATAAATATAACTACATAAATTTCAAATTGTGCAAAGAAGAGCTTGCACAGTTTGCAAATTGTGCAGTAAGTCTCAAATTGTACACGACAGGCCCATCCATGCACCAGCTTGCCAACTCGGCCCTTAACCGACTCAGCCAATGGCATAACCAACTCGGTCTAGTCCATAATGCTGCTTAGTTTTTTTTCATAAAAATTATTTTAAATTTTAAATCAGTATTATACAGTAGACCTCTTTCAGTGTTTACATTGGCCTAGCACACTCGCACTTGCAACATCCAATGATTGAAATAATTGAAAAAAATAGACAAATTTTAATTTCTTATTTTTTTTTTTGTCGATTCCTATACAACTACGCCTGCAGTGGTGGATTCGGGGGTGAGGGGTAGCCGGCCTGGCCCCTTCCCCCCTTAATTTCTCAAAATTATAAAAATGGAGAAAAACGGAAAATTATATACAAAATTAAGTCAGCCATTTCAGGCCGTCTAGCGGTGCCTTAATCATAAATTTTCTTATTTCAGCCCCAACCATGGTGGGGCTGAGGTAGTCTAGACAACCATCTGGGAAAGTCCCACGCTGGACCCCTCTATTTTAAATTCATGGATCTGCCACTGAACTATGCCATACCGTAAAACCTCGAATTGAAGCCCTGGGCTGCTTTTTTTTGTTTTTGCGATGGGCTTCTTTTTCGTGGCTACTTTTGCAGAATAAAGAGGAGGGATTTTTTTTCAAAATGAATGCTGTACATTTTTTGAATTTGTACTACAAATAAAACAATAAGTAAGGCCACTGTAGCATCAATCATTTAAATCACCTATGTATAAACCAAGCTGGTTTTTAATTTATTTTGTTTTTTGAAATCCTTGTACAGTGTATATGTACTGTACTATCTCGAAAAGAAGCCCATGGTCTTCTTTTCGAGGTAACTTTGCAAACTAAAGAGGGGGCTTTAATTCGAGATGGGCTTCATCTCGAGATGAAGCCCAGTGGGCTTCAATTCGAGGTTTTACAATTAATGTGAATTTCATACAGTTCATTTCATATTTTTGGCACAAAAGAAAAAGATAACCAGTATCCTGATTTCCTGTGCATTGTCCTATACTTGGTGAATCTTTTGCCTACCAACCTAAGTGGAGTGCACTGCCAGTATCTCAGCCATGGCATTATAAACATAGAAATTGGTCCATATTATTATTGCTTTTGATATATTGTAAAACTATGTTTTGTTACATAAATTACATAAAAATTTTAAAGAAATTACTCTAAAAAGCTGTAATGAAGGCATGTCTTTGTTAAATTGATATTTTTTTAATTTAATTTTGTAATTACGATTTTAAAGTAATTATCGTCACTTTTGTAATATATTTCAATGTCATGCATTTATAATTTTAATAATCTTACATTATCATTTTGTCGTCACTTTAAGAAGCCGCCACACTTTTTAGCTGCTACGATCAAGAGGAAACAGTCATTAAGAAACTGTGGGTAGCGGTAGCTTTTGCTGCAAAGGAATGGGGATTCCGAACTAATCAATGCGCAAGGGCAGTTACCAAGGAACGTCAGTGAAATATGTAAAAAAACACAGTAAGCATGAGCTTGGAAAGGCTAGACAGCCAGTGAACATGTGCACTGTGTAAGTGACGTTGTCGAGCCATGCCGAGCACGCACAGTTATCAAAAAGACGTCTCAGGAACAAAACAGCATCTGCGAAGAGGGTATGAAATAGAAATGGGGAAGATCAAACTTTTTGTGCAACAATTAAACATGCGCAACTCAAGCTAACGCGATCATGTATGGCAATAAAAATTGAAAATAATGAGAATTCCTGTCGAACCTTGGCTATCGAAGGCCTACAGTGCATCATATAATTGTCAGGGAGAATTGTAATTAAATTATCGCAAACAACAGTTTATTTGGCTCTATCATTGTACGTACGTACAGTATGCATTGACAGTCGGATAAAAAGTAACCACAGTATTAACACTGACCACACAACCTACTGTAGGCTAGCCTCTGGGTAGCTACTAATAGCCAAGTAGTAGGGGCAAGCCTAGGTTAAATCACATTGTCTTAAAAGGTATGGTGCTGTACTCTGAAGTAGGGTGGCGTACATATGCTCTTCGTCGTATGCATCCATATTATTGACAATCCAAAAAATGTAGCCACACAAACTGAGAGCAGTAGGCCTAGCTGAGGTGGAAGTGGGTGTGGGGGAACTAGCCAATCTGAAGCGGAAGCTTAAAAATCGGATATGATGGAATTTATAATTTGTCCAACCCAGCCAGCAGAATAATGAAAATAATAAATAAAAAAAATTGAATATAAATAAATAATATAAAATATTAACAAATAATAATAACATTATCATTAATAATAATAATAATAATATTAATAATAATAATAATAATAATAATAATAATAATAATAATAATAATAAACAATAATGGATAAGAACACAAGCTCAAGAAAGTCTATATGGTAGGTCTAGTCCTCCATCAATTCATATATCACACTTTCTAATTTCTAATGTGGATTACTGTTTAGTATGTTTTTTTTTTATTATTTTAATCCTGTGACCACAATGTAAATAACTTTGTGGCTATTGTTACACCAGTTCTACCTGTAGGCTATTATTTTAATGTATATGTGTCATATAACAGAAATACATTGAAGATGATATAGGTCATTCTCAGGTGTACATTACAATTATAGTATTAAGTTTGGAAATACATATAGGAACTATTTATTGTTTACAAATGTAATACTGTAATATTTTTGTAATATTGGTAAGGGCCGAGTTGGTTATGGGCCGACCCAGTTACAGTAAGGGCCGAGTTAGCAAGGGCTGAGCTGGTGTATGGACCCAGTGGGTAATAAGCCGAGTTGGTTTAAGGGCTGGGTTGACAAGGGCCGAGTTGGTTTATGGGCAGAGTTGGTTAAGGGCCGAGCTGACTTGAAGCCGGTGTCATATGCTAATATTAATAATTTTTTCTGAAAAAATGTTTTCCAAAAGACTACCGACACTGCAATGTTTTCTTTAATAGGTAGGGATTTTTCTTATTTTATAGCATTTAGTGATGTACTGTTCAGGATCCAGAATTTTTGAAATGAGGGGCCTTCTAACCTATTCCAGTTTAACTGACCTTTTAAGCAATGCTCATGATGTTTTTTATTTTCTAGATAACAATGGATTCTATGCAATTGTCACCATCTTGTTTGCTCCTTTATCAAGATGACAGTTTAGTTTGTAGCTATGCTGATGGGACAAACCTGGAATTGTCACCTTGTGGCTCTGCATTTATACACACACAAGCACATCCCTCACCTGGTGTTCACCCTTTGCTGAACACACGGAAAGGGGCAATACGCCAGAGAACTGCTTTCGTAACTAGTGAACACAAAACTAAAGTCCAATATGCAATGGACATCAGGAATCGTTTTGCTGCACGTCCCTACGTTACGAGCAACCTGCTACATGATACTGATTATATACTAGTAAGATACAAGTTTAAGTTTTTTTGTGATTGCACAATAGATTATCAAATATTGCTATTTTTATTGCAGATTTTAACTGCAAGGTCTATGGCAGAAAAATACTGTGGAATACTGTATTTCTTTAGTGTCAGAAATTTCAGAATGTGATGCATGGAAAATAAGTAATCAAACCTCAGAAATACAGCACATTAAAATATTAGTCATCAACTGAAAATAATAATAAGATTAAAAAATATTCTTTATTAATAATAATGATTTTCGTTTCTTCTTTTCTAGGAAACCTATGCTGATATTAAAGAGGTCAATTGGTCTCCAAAATTAGATGAGCAACACGTTGATGTTTTGGACAATGGTGGAGTGCGTATACGCTCTCTTGATGAATGTGCTTCTTTGATAATTTCAGCTAATGAGCATGACCTCAGCATTGAGTACCTCTGTAAAATCAGTAACAGAGTTGTTGATAATCGTAGAGAAAACATTAGGAATACTATCTGTGAGGATTCTCAAAGACATTGTGACAGAAATCATGCAGGAATATTTGGTTCAGGTGCAACTGCTGTTAGAAATGATTCATGTGCAACTCATGACACTGTAAAACAAAAAACCATACAGTTTGCTTATGTATGGATGATCCAGCATCTGTCAGTTAAACACTGCCCTTTTGAGTGGCAACATCCCTTACAGCTTGTAAAGAAATTTAAACATATGAGAGTAATTGGAAAGAAAAAAAATAATAATGAATGTCCTCTTCAAGAAGAGAATGAAATTGATACAGAAACGAATGCATCAATAGAAAACTGTCTGGGATCTTCGGCTTCTGTCATAAGTGACGAAGATGATGATAATGAGAAAGAAAGGCAGATGAAACACCATTTTCTAGAAAATTCTTTCTCTGCCAATAGAAATGTCCCCAAAACTATACCTGCTGCAGTTGTGGATTGCACATTTGTGAATTCTGTAAAGATGCATTTACCAGATCATTTACCAACAACATGCAGTAACCCTCAACTTCACCACTGGAGGAACATTTCAAGTACACAACAGTTAAGTGAGAATGTGGATTTTGATGCTCTAGTCAAAACACCTAATTGTCCTCTAAAAATGATGATTGCCAATGGTGTTATATACAGGTACAGTATAATTCTTTCATTTTTATTTTTGGCTAGACAAGACCTTTTTTATACCTTGATTCGCAAACTTATTTTTTTTAAAGATCGTCAGAAGAGGGCTGAAAAAAAAAACATTTGTTTTATTAACAAATGGTTTTGCCAAAAGCATTGAGACAGAGGAGAAATTAAAAATTAAGTTTTATTAGTGAATGTAAACAGTGTACTAATGGGATGGTTAAATGCTTTCAATTTATATAATTAGGAAGAAATATACATATCTTTCTGGAGATTTTATAGCAGTGGAGTGCATAATAAAAATAAAGAAAAACTTTTATTTTTTTTTAATTTTCCATTTTTTTGTAGCGGCTAAATTAAAACAAGGTATTAAAAAAGTCTCGCCCTATAGAGAAATTTTTCCCATCAAACTTATGGCTATGTTCACACACACCACCTAACAGTTAGCAGGATCCAGATAAATAACGTACAATCTCACCCTTGCGTTCATACAAGAAAATCCCCAATCCAGATATCAAGAAGATGACAAAGGGATCACTGAGCAATAGGAAACTGGAAATTGGAAATGCATATTTGTGATTGGTTAATGATAGAAACACACTCAACTTGCTAACCGTTAGCGCTCGCTAACTGTTAGGGTATCCAGATTCTGGTAACGGTAACCGATCGGGCGTCCTTACAGGAGTGCTAACAGTTATCTTTTGATCCGGATACTGGGGCTCTAGTGTTATTGGGGCTCTAACCTAATATTGATACTATAATCCTGTTTTAAATTAAGTTTGATAGAACCATTAGTTAGATGGAAAAGTTTTAAGTAGATTTTTTTTCACATTACAAATTATCTATTAAACAAAAAATGATTGCTTTTTAGTTTGTTTTACATATATAGTACAGTACAGCGTAATATCTGGTATGAGAAAACCAAATAACTTCATGCTGCGTGTGGAGTCTTAGAGTAAGTGATGGCTAATTAATGGACCACTGTATAGTATGTATTGTCAAGTCATATTGCTGAGTAGTTAAGGCAGGAGTGGTTTGAGCGGCATACCAGTCTATCTTTCTGATGGTGGAACGTCTTCTAGGATAGGACAGTCAACAGTAGGCCCAGCCAAATGCCAACAGATTTCAGCAGCACACCTGCCTATGGTTCTTGTGGTGGAACATCTCATGAATTTTTTTTGTCTTGTATCTATATTAATACTCACTTCCAAGAAATACTTAGCAGTAGATGCTGAATTATGTATTTGTACAAAAATAGAAATTAATACAAAAGGATATTAAAATCAAATGCAGAGCTACTGTAGTTCATGCCCTGAGGCTTGTCTCCATCAGAAGTTTTCAGACCCCCCCTCAGATGCCCATATCAGGCAAATATTGGAGCCACCAACTGATAATGACCACCAAATGATGGATGTGGAATTGAGCAAGTGGGGGACATACAGTTTTATGTTCTTCATTCTATGAACTGGTATTTCATAGTACATTCAGTGGCAAATTATTTCTTTCTAAATTTTATTCCAGTGAATTAAATTACTTTTAAAAGTTGTAAATTTCACCTATACATAATAAATATTTGAAATATTTGAATAAATTATTAACTTTCAAATAGCATTCACTTTTCTTAATACCGGATAGACTTTTAGAATGTAATGTAAAATGAAATAGCGCCATCTATTGGCTTGTAAATCTAATCTGCTATCAAACTTTTTCTGGTTTTGGTGATGAATACAACAGGTAAACTGCTGGACAGTTAGAAAAGAATTAAAAATATAAAATCTATTATTGGTGCATTGTTTTTCCAAAATCTTTCAAATAATTATAATCGTATTGAATAACTTATTAGTAGCCTAGGTTTTAGGCTGTTGCTGTACTTAATTTAAATCTTAACAGCTGAAACAGCCCATACACGGCCTAGCAAAACACTGCCAGGTAGCATAACTGGCTGGTCCACACCTCAATTTTGTGGTGACAATACAGAACTGGTCAATCGCAGTGTGACTTGACAGGACATTTGATAACCTTTTTTCAACGTTAATTAAAGCTCATAAACACTAGTTGCATTATTTTATAGTCAAATCAAAGACAGAAAAGGACTAATTAAAACCTCAAAATGTCTGTAAATCTGACAAAGTGTAGCTTTTGTTTTTTAAAACAAAATCTGTTTCTGGTTGGAAGTTATTATATTATTATATTTTTTTGTCCTTTTGAATGATGTTTTAATTGAAAAGCTCAGTTTTGGCAATTAGACATAATTAACTCATTTGGCAAAGTTGTCATTGCTCAGAATGAAATTAAGACAGCAATTACTTCTAGGATATAATAGTAATATGAACATATATAGAATTGAGTCTAGTCCTGAGGGTGACATCTTGTGTAGCGATTTAAGTATTTTGTATGATACACACCATTCCATCCACATCGTTTACAGTTTGGCTCCCTCGCAGGGTATCTGCATCAAATTAAACTCACACATCTTCACGGCCTGAATTTGATTGCATAATTCAATTCTTAAGTCCCTCCGGCCTCCTTTTTCCATGAAGACTATGAGTAGGTAATCCATTTACAGAGGGTAACCACGTAACGTTGCAACCAAGTGCTCCTCAGGGGGCAGTTTTCTTCTGCTGGGAGAGACAATAAAACACATCTCTGCATTGTTATTATCATGTTTACTTAAATCATGTTCAGTAAACAAGATTTCTTATTAAATGATTAAGTCAGTGACTGCAGAGTTTCTTGGTTCCGATTCCAGAAGTTGGTAGCCTATGACGTACATTTTAATTACAGAGCTTTCAGCAAGTCTGGTTGATGATAAAGCTTGACGCTTGTAAGTTACCTGCGATAACCTGCTTGCCCGCTCCACCACAGAGTTCATCCTTGCTTCAAACCAAACTTTTGCTCTACTGTAGCACTACTCTTGCTTCAGTAACAGGGATTACGAGGTTCTTTTTGCTTTTAATTTCTGCAGGGTTTATTTTGGAAAGGTCAACAGAGTGTGAGAAGCTCAGAAATATTAAGTGAAAACTGATATTTTGAGTTGCAGAGATTCTTCATAGAGTAGTGCAGTGTTGCAGGAAAAGCATGATAAAGAAATGGTTATTCTTTGAGCATTTGAAGAAGTTATTTAACAGAAGAAGTGCTAAAGTCATTGTAAATTTGCTAATATAAACCAAAATTTATTTATAGATGCATTGTAAAATTTAGAGATATCTATTGGAGATGAATCTAGTCCTGAATGCTAATACACCTGTATATTCAAAATTTCATAATTTCCTCGCATTAATTAATTTGCTTCAAACTACAGCAATTAGCCTAGTTTTAAGAGCAACCGATCAGTAACTCCTAGAGGGTATGCATGGTTTTGAATCTCAATGGGGAAAATATGATGCTCACACTCTAAAGAAAAGTTCATTAACCAGCCCACGCCAACCTTTCGAATCTGCAGTCTACCAATTTGTATTGAATTTAAACCTATTAATTATTTTCTTTAATAGCAATTTGTGATATTTTGGAATACTGACATACAGTATTCTGATAAATTTTGCCATTGAGTACCAGAATGAGAAGTTTTGCAATAGGAAGGATGAAAAAAATATTGGAATGGTGTTGTGAAAAGCAAACTTGTTGAGTCTCTTAACAACTGGAAAAGTGTGGAAAGTGGGTGACATTTATCTGGATAATTAAAAGAGTGTTGGAATTGGATGAGTCTTCACTAGTTGAGTTTGCAAGATTCAAATCCTTTTTGAAGCACTACAGTAGTGTACTTTCACTATGATTCTGAGGGTGTATTTGATCTAATTTTAATTTCTAGCATGTTTTCCGATGAGTTAAACACCTTTAAAAAAATTAAAAAAATCTAACACTAAAATTTAAAAGTATTTTTGAGGTACATTTTTTAAAGGTTTCTTTTTTTTTTTTTTTTTTTTTTTACAAAAACAAAAAGA